TGATAGATCATTTGGTGATGATTGATTAGAGTTTCTTTCTTGTTCACTTGATCTTGTTGCCTTTGAACTGTGATGTCTCAAAGTCATCATCTCAGATGAACTACTATAATTCACAAGAAATCGACGTTCTGAAGGTAAAGGGAGAGAGGAAGAGAAGCTGTTCGGCATAAATGAGATCGAGGCAATGGTTGGTCGATTAGCTGTATTTTCTTGAACACAGAGTAATGCAATGTGAAAGCATCTCATTATTTCATATCTTGAACCATTGCTTATCACAGGATCTACTATATTTGAGGTTGTCCCTTCCTTCCAATTTTTCCATACCTGAAAATGTTGTTCATTAAGAAGAATATTAGTCTTGAGCTACTTTTGCAATTGTATATATGTTAGCTTATATATATATATATATATAGAGAGAGAGAGAGAGAGTAGACAAAAACATAATTCTCTACTCTTGAGAGGAAGAAGCATAGCTTACAAAACTTAATAGGTCCAGATGACCTCGTGTATTCTCTATATGAAAGGTGCTGCTGTTTATCTTGCCACTTATAATCTCTAGAACCAATACGCCGTAACTATATACATCTTATTTTACTGAACATTGACCGTATAGTACATATTCTGGGGCCATATAACCACTGCTTATTAAAATGAACAAATTTAGCTCAATATAGTAGTTATTAATGGTCTTGTAGCTTTCAACCACTAAAGTCATCATTACTTACCGAGTTCCCACAATTCTATTAGTATTGCTTCGAGTTTGATCTACCTTAAATAGTCTCACAGTCTGATATCTTAGGATTTAATTCATCATCTAAGAGAATATTGCTTGCTTTGAGATCACGATGGATAATACGTAATCTTGAATCTTGATGAAGATAAAGCAAACCACAAGCAATGCCCCTTATAATCTTGTATCGTACTATCCAATTCAAAAAAGCTTGCTGATTTGGATCTGCAAAATTTCTTGTTATATACTTACCCGTTTAATGCTATGATGTGTTAAAACTATACATGTCTAAAATATGGATTCTCATTCAAACAATAAAAATGAAGTGATAGATATGCAAACTATGTTACTTACCGAATAAAAAGAAATCAAGACTTTTGTTAGCAAGAAATTCATAGACGAGTAGTGTTTTTGTTTTTTCTAGACAGAAACCAAGTAATCTTACTAAATTCTGATGGTGAAGTTTTGCTACTAACATCACTTCAGTCTTAAATTCTAAGTCTCCTTGCCTAGAATGCATGCCTGGACAACATTTTCACAGTAACTTCTTGTCCATCGGGAAGCTGACCCTGCATTTATTTATTAGAATGTAAATCATGAACACATACACACTCTTTTTTTTCCTTCTTCACTTTCAACAATATAGTGATGCTATGCACTTCTAAGTGACAAATTTATTATACCTTATACACTGGCCCAAATCCTCCTTGTCCAAGCTTATTTGCATAAGAGAAGTTATCAGTTGTGAGCTTGATGGTGTTATAGTCGATTTATAGAATCTCAGCTGGTTTAATTTCACCATTATCCTTTGTTTTAGCTTCAACTGAGAAAGAGCAAGTCATGAGTTCTTCAAATAGCATAAAGTACAAAATCTATTTAAACTCCCCACCCTTTTTTTTGCTGAAAAATCTCAACATAAAAAATTCCTTGTGTTTGTTTTTCCAGAAAGGCTTCATTAATCGAAATTAGAGTTAACATTTATAAAGAATTTTTCCCAGCTGAAAGAATGAGAAAGTCATTTAGACGTACTTTCATGGGTTTTCTTCTTTCTTCTAATCATAAAGAATGCTATGAGAAGGGCGATAATGGCACCAATCAGCATAACCACAACAATGGTAGTTCTTGATTTATTGCTACTTCCTGTAAAATCAAAGTTGAATTTGTAGAGAGAACTCATTATGTTACTAGATTATATAGACAACCTCAAAAACTAATTATACTTATTAATATATATTCACGAACTAAATTTTATATTCAAAACTTCATCTAAAGAAACTTAAAGTGAATCCTGTGCATTACACATGGAGTTTGATGGGGTTATGAAAAATGTATCATGTTGAAGTTCTGTAATTTATATTTATTGATGATTTTATGTATATATCAGGCTATATTACTTGAATAAGAATAAGTAACTTTTGTTGGAAAATCAGGAACTCCTGGGATGTCACACAAAAGAAGTTTTATATTCCCTCTTCAAGCTTATCCGATCCAATCACACAAATTAGTGGCAAGTTAAATTTTTCATAGTAAACACCATACACATAAGGCTATGAGTTTGTGAGAGATACCTTGTGGGGAAGTAGTATTTGTTGATGGAGGAAGAGCAGAGGGGAGAGTTATTTTTGTTGAATTGACAAGCGCATGATCATAGAATAAGAAATTCTCAAATCTAATATTGCAGTTCAATCTGATGACCTTCCCGCTAACCTTGTTCTAACAACAATTTGGGATATAAAAAATAAAATTCTGCAAACAATCAAAGCAATCTTGCCTATTCAAATCAGGCGTGTACTAAACAAGGCCATACACAACTTGTGATTGATCAGCTATTGCATTTCCCGCAACCACCTTACGATAAGAGTTACCATCCCTGGCCTTGTCTTTTAGATTTTGCATTAGATCATTAAGTGAAATGTTGTATTTGTTTGCATCTATTGTATTAGTGTCGTTGCTATTACAGTTGTAAAAGTCATGGTCCCGGTAAATCCCAAACATTTGATGACTTGAGTATTGAAACATGCATAAATTATAGTATCCAAATGCCTCCTTCTGATATGGACATAGCTTTGGGAGAAGGATTGTGGCATTATTGAGGCAATTACGACAAGAATCTGGCTTCATGTCTCCTCTGCACAGTCCAAGTGCGTTAACAGTGTTGGGGCTTTCACCATAGGAGGAATTGTAGAAGCCATAGTCAATTTTGGTGTCAGAGGTGAAATTAGAAAGAAGGGTATTGAGGTTGGTGTCGTAGGAACTTGGTTTTGTGTAGTTGCCACTTTCGTTGAAGCACTTGTACAAGTAGAAGTCAGGTTGGGCGGTATGAATGAAATAGCAGTTGTAGTTGTAGTTGTCATCAAGGAATGAATGAAATTTGAGAAATGAGATTTGAGTATGGAGCTTAGGATGCGGTAAGCTAAAATTCCTAGTACAATAATATCCTTAATATAAAACACAGTACAGTTGACAAGTCTGAAGATAAGATTCCAATATTCCTAGGAATACAAGTTGACAAGTCTAAGATAGGAATTTCTAAGAATACAGGTCTTCTAGGGGTTATTTAATTTCTCCATTCACACTGTGGTTTTTCCAAGTGGCCGACCACCATGTGCAGGCTGGGATGTTTTAACTTTCCACATGCGTGGTGCTTTTTAGGAACTTGGTCTTTTTAGAATTTGCGCTAGGGCCGATTTAGTGTTTTGACTTTTCTTTTATTCTTTTTAGGTAGAAAACCACATAGAGTTTTCTTTTGTTTTTTTTTTAAGAAAAATGGTAGGAGTATTTTTTTGACTGGTTACATATATGGTTGAGACTAAGCTTAAATAGGAGCAAAACTTTAGCGACACTGAAACAGTTGACCAAATTAACGCGAAAGAAACTTCAAATTAAAGAAAGTGACAAATTTCTCAAAGATAATTCTCTTTCACACTTCAAATTAAACAAGTTTTTCCATTCTCTTTCTCAAAGACAGCCTTCTCTGTGTCGTGCGTTGGAGCTCTGCCGTTGTTTCACGATCTTCTAAACACTGTTGTCTTTTTTGCTGTTACATGCCTCCCTCCATTATTGCCTTCTCTTATTTTTGTGTTGGAGCTTGGCACTGTTGTGGGTTATACTTGCGTGGAGAGAATGTTCATGTTCATGTTTGGCTTTAATCCTTTTATTTTTTAAAATGTTTTGCTTACTTTTCATCATATTTAGAAATGGATTAATCTTTAGTCCCGTATGCTTCAATTTCTTAAGATTCTAAACAATGGCCTCTTGAGTTCTCATAGGGTAATCATCATTTTAATATAAGCATATTATTTAATTTCTCCATTCACACTGTGGTTTTTCCAAGTGGCCGACCACCATGTGCAGGTTGGGACATTTTAACTTTCCACATGTGTGTTGCTTTTCAGGAACTTGGTCTTTTTAGAATTTATAATGGGGCCAATTTAGTGTTTCAACTTTTCTTTCATTCTTTTAGGTAGAAAACCACAGAGTTTTCTTTTGTTTTTGTTTTTTAAGAAAAATGGTAGGAGTATTTTTTTGACCGGTTACATATATGGTTGAGACTAAGCTTAAATAGGAGCAAGACTTTGGCGACACTGAAACAATTGACCAAATTAACGTGAAAGAAACTTCAAATTAAAGAAAGTGACAAATTTCTCAAAGATAATCCTCTTTCACACTTCAAATTAAACAAGTTTTTCCATTCTCTTTCTCAAAGACAGCCTTCTCTGTGTCGTGCGTTGGAGCTCTGCTGTTGGTTCATGGTCTTCTAAACACTGTTGTCTTTTTTGCCGTTACATGCCTCCCTCCATTGTTGCCTTCTCTTATTTTTGTGTTGGAGCTGAGCACTATTGTGGGTTATACTTGCGTGGAGAGAATGTTCATGTTCATGTTTGGCTTTAATCCTTTTTTTTTTTTTAATGTTTTGCTTACTTTTCGTCATTTTTAGAAATGGATTAATCTTTAGTCCCGTATGCTTTAATTTCTTAAGATTCTTAACAATGGCTTCTCGAGTTCTCATAGGGTACTCATCATTTTAATATAAGCATATTTTTTTAATTATTTTATTCCAATAGTGGCATAATTATGCAAATAGCCTCCATAGTAATCATTATTCTGTGAAGTTGGGAATCTAGAATGTTAATCCTTTGTTCTACTTCTTTATTACTCCATATAGTGCATGTGATGTGCGAAACAGAATGAAACTAAACCATAGGAAATTCAGAAAGCAATATTTATTCTATCACAGAAAATCTGTAATTCACACGCAAGACCAAACCTAGACTTCTATAGAGATATAGCAAACTATTCACTAATTGAGGCCTCATTTTTATGCTTGTCGAGTAGAGTAATGTACTCCCTCTCCTTCATCTTCCTCTCTGGTCTGCATCTCAAGCGTGCTGCTGAAATTCATTAAGCATGGAGGTCGTGAAGGTAAAGGGAGAGACGAAGAGTAGCTATTGAGCATAAGTTCAATAGAAGCCATAGTAGGCCTGTCTGTTACGTTTTCTTGAACACACAGTAAGGCGATATGAATGCATCTCATTATTTCATCCCTTGAACCATTGCTGATCACGGGATCTACTATATTTGAGGTTGTCCCTTCCCTCCAGTTTTTCCATACCTGCAAGAAGTTCCTCATATTATTCCCAAGTTACTTTTACAATTTTGTATGGTAGCTAGCTATGGCATCCATATATATAATCTTATCACTCTCTACTTTTGACAATTGAAAATATATACATAAAGAAGGTAGATACTTACAAAGCTTAAAAGATCTTGTATATCCTCCTCATCAATCACGCTACTATTCTTTTGGCCACTTATAATTTCAAGAGCCAGTATACCAAAACTAAAGACATCTAATTTTGTTGATATTTGTCCATGTATTGCATATTCTGGTGCCATGTATCCACTGTTTGTCAATATAAAAAATCTTAATTAGACAAAGATGATATTAAATCCAATAATTTGTTAGGTATGGAGTTAATAACTGTAAGTAGTACTTACTAAGTTCCAACAACTTTGCTTGTAGTGTTATGAGTTTGATCTAAAGCAAATAGCCTTGCCATGCCAAAATCTGCTATTTTTGGATTTAGATCTTTATCTAGAAGAATATTACTTGCTTTGAGGTCACGGTGAACAATGCGTAATCTTGAATCTTCATGTAGGTAAAGAATGCCACGAGCAATGCCGACTATAATTTTGTAACGCACTTCCCAATGCAAATGAGTTTGTTGAATTGGATCTGTATAGTAAAGGACAATCCTATTTAGGTCTATGATCTCTTAAATCTATGGCTAGAATATCTCTTCCACTTTTACCCAATATAAGTGAAGAATAAAGATACTATATATATAAATCAAAATCATTCTTAAAGAGGCTACTATCATCACTTACCGAATAACATGTAATCAAGACTTCTATTGGGAAGAAACTCATAAATGAGTAGCCTTTCAGTTCCTTCTAAACAGAAACCAACTAATCTTACTAAATTACGATGCTGAAGTTTGGCCATCAATAACACTTCATTTTTGAATTCTAAGCCTCCTTGCCCTGAATCCATGGACAACCTTTTGACAGCAACTTCTTGTCCATTACGGAGCCTACCCTGTATTTATTAGAGTTGGGACATGTAATTAATAACACATCAATTGTTCTAGCTAGACAATGTGATTTTATTTGTCTTGATCTAACATTAATGTCATTACATACCTTATATACTGGCCCAAATCCTCCTTGTCCGAGTTTATTTGCAACAGAAAAGTTATCTGTAGCCAGTCTGATGGTCTCAAAGTCAAATTGCAACGAATCAGCTGGGTTAATGTCTTCATCATCCATTATTTCAGCTTCATCTGAGAAAGAATTCAAAGATGAGCCCCTCAAATGCGATCAAACAATAAGTCTAGGTATGCATATACATAGGTTTTGTTGAAAAACTATTTTATTGATGTGCCCAAGAAGTGATTAATGTAAATTATAATTACTTGAGTCTAAGTGATATTCATAAATAAAATTAAAGGCCTTTTTACTATATAAATATTATAATTAAATGTTTAATTTGCCCAAAATAAGCAAGAAACTCTTTATTTTTTCCCCATATCACTGTCAGTCGTGAGGGACCATAACCACCATGGCTTTTAATTTCCACTTTGTCGCGCATGGGCCAAGTGGGAACTTCAAAAGCAATCAAAGTTTAAAAGCTTTGACTTAAAGATATCAAAGAATATCCTAATATTTAAAACTATTCCAGGGCGATGAATTGAAAGGTTGACATTGACAAATTACTACATAGAAAAAATATTATTTTATGTATCTTCATCTTCTCAAGTCTTAACTTACTTTCAATGGTTTTCTTCGATTTCCTAACTGCAAAATAGATGAAAATCAAGATGAGAAGGGCAATGGAGGCACCAATCACCACGGCCACAATAATAATAATGGTTCTTGATCTATTATGTTTTCCTGCAAAAGTCGAACATGCTCAGAAGTTGATTGACATGTTTCTTGGCCAGATACACAGACAACCACAACGGTAAAATTACTAAAGTCTAGTTTCACAGTTGTGAATAATTTTTGGATAACCTGCAAATAAGAGAACAACGCACATATATCAGACTACATCACTGAGACAGAAGTAGCTAGGTACCTTCTCTGGTAGATGGAATGTTACACAAACAATAATAGAATGATTTAATTATGGACACATGATAAATTTATACATTATTAATAATCACTCCTCTACTCTTGTTTACATATTTGGTTCTTAATATAAGACCTACTTAAGTAATTTGATTAGATTAAGAAAGTTAAGTAACTTAATCATAATAAATATGACATGTTTTTCTTAAAGCATCATAATCATCTTCTTTAATGTCCTTCCTTCTTTTGCTATTTGATTATGGTTAAGGGAATATTAGTAGGGCTGATTTGAAAAAAATTGATCAAGAGGAGTGATTTGAAAAAAACTGATTAATATTAAAAATAGGTCTTACATTTAGGATCAAAATCAACCTCACAATTAAGTCCTAAATTAAGGATTGGAAGAGTATAAAGCAAAGAAGAAATTTTGTTTTAATATGAGCCATGTTATTAAATTTTGTCATTTGAATGTATAATTATACCTTTCATTCTTTTTTTTTGTTTTTAACTCATGGATATTTTCCTATTAAAGGCAAATCCTGTTCGAGAAAAGATCGGGCATTAAACATAGGCACTTCTCCCAAAAAGGATTTAAACATTGGTTTGCCATGTTGTGAAGAATTAGCCCCTTTCACTAGACCCAATGATTTATTATTGTATACATTTTGTATTTTTTGGGTTGGGTATATATTAAATAGAGATAAAGTTATAAAATTATTAAATTTTAATATGTACTAGAGTTAATGAGTGTTTAAGTTACTAAATAGAGGCAAGACGTATTAGAAGTAACCTTAAGTAAATTTTCTTTCTTTGCCTTATAATTTAATAAGGTTCTTTTTTTATTTACAACGCAAAGTCAGAGAAATTACTACCCTAGAAGCGTCTCTGCAAACGAATGTTTTTTAATTATCACTTTGAGCAAACTCCATCTCAAAGGTTGGTATACGTCTGAATTTTTCGGAGTGATTTGCATAGTTAAGGATGAGTTTTGAGAGATACCTTGTGACGGAGTAGTAGTGGAAGGAGGAGGAGAAGGAGATGCAGATACTTGTATTGGATCAACAACATTAGGATTATAGAACCGGTTCTTCTCAAATCTGACATTGCAGTTCCGTTTGATAACCCTACCTCCAACCTTGTTCTGACAGCAAATTGGGATATCTGATATCGCCTTTTTCAAGCAAGCCTCGCAATTTTGCTCAGTCAAATCAGGCGTGCACTGAGCAAGACCATGTACATATTGAAACGGCGTTGAGGCGTTCCCAGCAGCCACCTTGCGATTAGGGCCACCAGCCGCAGCTTTGGTCTTAAGAACTTGCATTAGCCGATCAAGTGCATCTGTGTACTGTTCTGCATTTCCTACATTAATTGGGTTATTAATTGCGTAGGCAAAATCAGGGTTCTGATATATCCCAAACATTGAGCTATTTGAATATTGAAAGCTGCACGAGTCATAGTATATAAATGCCTCCTTCTGATTTGGACATTTCTGTGGGAGAAGACTCGTAGCATTATTGAGGCAACTACGACAAGCATCTGGCGTAAGATCTCCTCTGCAGAGCCCAGATGAGTAAACCGTGTCGGGCATTTGGCCGTACGAGTAATTGTAGAAGCCATAGTCATCTGTTGTGTTGGAGGTGAAATTGGAAAGGAGGGTTTTGAGGTTGGTATGATAGGCACTTTCGTCTGTGTAGGTTCCTTTGTCATCGAAACAGGTTTGATTAACATAAGGTCGGCCCTGCTGGGCGGTGAGAATGAGAAGATGGCAAAAGAATGATAGAAGAACCAGAAGAATATTGACAATCAGCGTCATTATGGGGGTAAGTTAAAACTGTGATAAATGAAAAAAGTAAAGCTTTTTAAGCAATTAAGATGTGATTTTTGAGTGTTGTTGATGAGCGATGAAGCAAGGCTTACTAGGACAACAATAACCTCAACATCTTTATAGGACACAAAAGTCAACAAGTCAATGACAAGATTCGAGTAAGGGATATTGCATTTTGTTCCATATGTTTGGCTATTTTGACACGGCAATTCATCAAATGCCAACAATTAACGTGTCTGTGTTTCCACTTCCACGCGGCCTTGTAGTAAAATTCCGACACATGCACTGTGGAAACAACATATATAATTTATGTGTTTAACCACCAGAAACACTCTTAAGGAAAATAAATGATATAACGTTGTTTTTCTTCTTGATAAAATGATATAACGTTGTTGAGTACGTAATAATCACTCACCCCGCATGCGCTATCATTCAGTGGGCACGTTACTGGTTGGCCTTTTTAATATATTCATACGTGACTAGGAATATATATAAGGCTTGCACTCCTTCGCTCCTTACTCATAAATCTTGCTTTTAGTTTGTTGTCAATTCTATACGGAGTTATGCATATGGCCTTTTTTTTAAAGATAATCCCTTCAACTATTTAAATTGGAGAGAATTGATGAAGCATATTGAGGTTGATGTGGTAGGCACCTTTGTTTGCGTCGGTTCCTTTGTCATTGAAACAGGTGTGATTAAAGAAGTCCGGATGCTGATGGGCGTTGATGAATGAGAAGATGAGGCAGGTATAATGAAACCAAAGCACAACGAATGAGAGAAAATTTCATGGTTGTTGAAATTTAGGATTTGCAATTTTGGAATCCTATTTGGTGAATGATATAGGAAGGATTATTCTCAACTTTGTAACCCACTAATCAACAACTCAAGGAATATATATTCATATGTGACTAGGAATATATGGCTTCGTTCTTGGGATGAGCATTTTTATGAGGTAAAGAAATGTAATTATTACAAAATACTACGATGTAAGATTTAAAAAATTAATTAAATTAAAAAAAATGCGCGTTGTTTTTTTTTTAAGATATCCCTTCAATTATTTAAATTGGAGATAATTGATGAAAAGACTTCCTTAATATGTATAATTAATAGAGATAATTTAAGAAATTATAAATTCAGAAAATAAAGTAAATACTTTTTTAATTTTAAAATCAAAACGAACCATTTAAATAAGTGCGTTATATTTCGAAGGCAGTACTGTTCAATTTCTCAAAGTCAAAAGTCCAGTTGTCCAAGACAAGGGGCGGGCCAGCCAGCATGAGGCCATGAAGGGGCATAAATTGAAAATAATAACATATTTAATATATTAAGAAATAAAAATTTCTTCTTTTCACACTTATATTCTTCCTTCGTCCTTGCCTATTAATGGGATAGTTGGCACCACAAATTTCCGAAGGAACAAGACCGACCACACGGTCAACACATGTGATCCCTCTTCTCCCATTAATCAGAGGTGGGCCCCTATGTTTTATTTATGTTCTTTTCACGCTTATATTAATCTTCCTTCGTCCTTGCCTATTAATGGGATAGTTGGCACCACAAATTTCCGAAGGAACAAGACCGACCACATGGTCAACACATGTGATCCCTCTTCTCCCATTAATCAGAAGCGGGCCCCTATGTTTTAATTTTATGTTCAGACTTTAGCCTTTTTTATATTAAAAAAAATCAAAGGCAGACTCGGCAAGATTTACCTGTGGGGTAAAATTTGAAACCAATATTCTAAAAAATATAATTGCAAAAATTTATTATCTTGACTTGACCTAGGAATACATACACGTTGACTTAGGTCGTCGTCCAATAGCTTAAGGCAAATAGACCGAAGAGGGAAAAAAAAAGAATTATCATAAGTTTTCAAGAAAATAATTTAATTACTAAAAAATCCCAACAATAAATTATTAGTATGAATATATTGTTGTTTTCTATTCTAAAACTTGTCATTATATACTCTTTAATTGTTAATGAACTTGAGGATAATTAAATTCCTTCTTTAGGATCTGATTGTAATCCTCAAAAAAAAAAAAAACAGAGAGAGAGATACAAATGGAGAAAAAAATTGGGAAGGAAATAGGGCCCCCACTTGTCCTTGCACTCGTTTTCTCTCCCACTTGATAGCATTCAAGCTTCATCAGTGCTTAGAATTGACGACTACTTGTCTCAATTGGTCTCCAATGAACTTATTGCATAGTGCGGAATATACAAGAGAAGCCAACACGTTCTCTCTGCATTTACTTATTGTTGCATAGATTAAGAAGTCTCATCACAATAATGACCACTATAATGCTTGTGATTACAGTGAGATCTGCATTGATTAAATACAATTTCAACCATTCATATTTAAAATTTTAAACTAATAATTTTTAAATAAATTTTTTTAAACAAGGACAATTAAAAGATTAAATGAATTTTTGTAGTTAATTTATTAAATTTCTTTTAAATTATTTTTTTCAATTTCACTTGTACTAAATGAAATTACAAAAGAAATCTCAATAACAAGTGACGAGCACGAATGAATATATTATCATTTTCTATTCTAGAACTGTCATTATATACTCTTTAGTTGTTAATAAACTTTAAAATAATTAATTTTTTTCTTTAAGATCGGCATTCCTTATTTCTATTCAAAATACGAATAGTTCCGTGACTTTGGCTAAGGGATTGTTGAATCTTTGCCTTGGAATAAATAGAATAAAATAGATTGATATTAGTGCGATCTGACTCATTATCAGCGATCAATCTTGAACTGGAGAGATCATTCATTTTTCTGATATACGAAATATGGGATTTCACTAAGTCAGTTCTTAGAAAATCTTGAATCAAACCATTTATACTTACTTCAACAAAAGAATGGCAGGTCTCTTCAGTGGAAGACATTTTTTTTTTTGTCTCGATCCCAATCTCATTGTAAATGACATACCAATGGAGAAAAAAAATTTGGAAAGGAAATAACGCCTCCTACTTGTCTTTGTACTTGTTTTCTCTTACACTTAATGGCA